CATCTGTAGGACACCAGGAAAACAAGGCCCTCTAAGTCAACAGGATTGAGACCATGAGAACGCACAGAGACTGAAGGATTGTGCACATGGTCTGCATGGGTCTGTGCCAGATGGGGTCCTAGAGCTGAAAGGAGATGTGGATGCAAGCCCCATCCCTAATACAAAAGCAATCTTCAATTGATAATCACATGCAAATGAAAATTTAGTCTTCTCCAAGGGAGTCAGTCACACTGGGGAAGCAAACTACTCTGTCTGGTTTTTCCAGATAGGGTCTCTCTGTGTATCTTTGGCTGCCTTGGAACTCACTCTGTAGACCAGGCTAGCCTTGAACTCAAAGAGATCCTCCTGCCTCTGCCTCCTGAGTGCTAGGATTAAAGGAGTGCGCCTCTACCACCTGGCTAAACAAACAACTCATAAGTGTAAACAATGTCCTGCAGTCGATGGCCAACAGAAAATGAACTCAGTAGCATCTCTGGAGGTTCCTTGTCTCAATGTCATATAAAGACTTTCCTTTTTTTTTTTTTTGTAATTTTATCCTCTATTAACCCTACAGGTCCTTTGGGTATATATTATAGCTTTCAGTTCAGTGCTGTTATGGAATTCTTGAATACACAAATAAGTAGGTCTCTGTTTCTTGTGCCATTTCTTGGCCTCTTTCCTTTTGTCACATTCTGATGTGTTAGTTTTTATCTTATTATATTATTTTATTGTTATCCCATAAAAGTATATTTGTTTTCTAATGAGAGACAGAAAGGGAGTGGATCTGAATGGGAGGGGATTTGGGGAGGAATTAAGAAGACTATATGGAGGGGAAACTGTAATCAGGATATATTTTATGTGAGAAAAAAAACTATTTTCAATGAAAGGGGAAAAATAACTATTAAAAAAGAGTTGGAGACAGCGTGAAAAATGTATTCCCTTTCCTTTGGAAACTCTCAAGCTGGTTGGCAGCTAATCACAGTAGCAGACACTTTCATTGTTGCTGGATACATGAATACGGGTTACAATCATTTACAGAACAACAGGAATAGGACATGAAATTAGTGGGAATTGGGAATGGGTACACTGAGTTCTTGAGTTCTAAAACTAAGTTCGGCTAATGTAAGAAGGAAATGATGCACCAGGGTTTTTCTTTTGGGCCACCAACCAGCTCCCAAATCATGGCACAGAGACTTATTATTAGTTTTGAATGCTCGATCTTAGTTTAGCTTAGTTGTAGCCTGCTTTTCTAACTTAAATTATCGGTTTCTCTTCTACACTTTGTGTCTGGGCGTTTTACCTTCTTTATTCTATATGTATTTCTTTCCTTTTTACTCCGTGGCTGGCTGGGTGACCGGCCCCTGATGTCTCCCCCTCTCTCCTTTTCTCTTCATCTCTGGAGCCTAGATTCCTTCTCCTATTTATTCTCTCCGCCTGCCAGCCCCGCCTATCCTTTCTCTGCTCAGCTATTGGCCTTTCAGCTTTTTATTAGACCAATCAGGTGCCTTAGGCAGGCAAGGTGAAACAGATGCAACACACCTTACATAACTAAACAAATGCAGCACAAACAAAAGTAACACACTTTTATTCTGTAATATTCTGTAGCATGAACAAATGTAACACATCTTTGAGTAGTTAAAATAATATGCCATATCAAAAATCAGTCTATGGAATGTATTGGAGAAGTTATTGGGTGGACTGACAGATAGCTGCCAAACTTGGCTTGGAATTCTTGGTTAAGAACCACAAGACCTAGGCAGCAGGGAACAAAAGCCAGGCTAATGCTGTGGTTCTGATTAGGATGCCATATTTGGTACTGTCACTACTGAATTCAGATGCTACTACCACTGGGCTTGTGCCAAATTTCCGTTGCTTGCAATGCTACTTGTGTAGCATTCAGACTCTGTGTACCATTTAGGACTTTCTCAAGAGCCCAATGTCTTCTGCTAATCACTGGATCACCTAACAAAATAATGAAGGAGATTTTGGATATTTGGTGGGAAAGAAAAAATAAGCAACAATAACAGCACAACAAACATGCCCGTTATAAAGACTTCATAGCAAAAGAGTCTACCTTCTCTTTCTTTGGGTCTAGTGGTTACCACTTAGAGTAAATACTGGTTGAATTAAACCCAAATAAAGAATGAGCTAAGTCTTTAAGATGAGTAGCCCATTAAATAACAATGTAGGGGAAATATAACCCAAGGGTAAGATTTGGAGCTTATTAGACAGATAAATATATGAACAAATGACCAAACAGAACAAAGCATGCATAGAAACAGTCCTTCGTAGAAAACAACTCAGTTTGTCTGGAAGAAGGGGCTCACACAGGAGACAGTGGCAAAGGAGAGGGGGACAGACTCACGGCACTCCTGTCCTGGAGCTCTGGCAGGTACAAAATTCTGTTCTCAGTGCTAAGAGCTTGCAGCAGGCAGGCTGTACAGCCCCTGCTCTCAGGGAGCCTTTGTGCATTTCTCGTTCTCTTTATTTTGCGAGTAGCATTTGAGGAGTTTTTAGGAGAACCATAGCATAGCCACTTGCAAGGCTTTGGCGTCTAGCATAATAGGTTGTATAATAAGCCACAGAATGAGGCCAAAAGCAGGGAGACAGTAAGAGACTAGTAACTAGCAGATGAGCGATAGTGGAGGCTGAACCAGGCTTCAGCCGTGTAAGTGAAGCTGGTCCAATGCACTCTTCAGACTCACTCACTGCACCCAACACCACTCCTGCCCCTTTCAGATAAGCAGAGCATATGTCACTGCAGGCCAGCCGTGCCATTGCTGTGTTCCATTCCTAAGTGGCTTTGTCTTTCCCTTATGCGTAGAACGCCCCTTTCAGTTGAAGAACAGGTGAGCCCTTGGTAGTCTCTGGCCCCTTCCTCTACTCCTGCACTTCTGCAGATAGCTCATCCTATCAGGCCTAGATCTCTGAAGTTGACAGCAAGCTGCATGAAGACAGTATCGGTCTCTTGTGTGTCCATGCACTCCTACAGTTTGGAACTTTGCATCCAGCACAATATGCCTGGCCAGCCCCTTGACTGTAGAGCACACCAGAAATGTTGTTGTAACTGATAACCCTCATCTGCAAGCAGCTGCTGAACACAATGAGCAATGTTAATCACCCCTACGCATGCTCTTGAGTCACTGTCCACTCCTAAGCCTTCAGCGGGGTTTCATTTCCCATGGAATCTTCCCTTTGGCTTCTAAGGTCCCTCGGCCTTTCTCCTCCACATTTTCCCAGCACATACTCCATTCTCGTCAACTGCCCAGAGCTAACCCTTACCAAGCACTTACTATTCGTCTTCACTCACTCTGTTCCATCTATCCCCACGGAAGCCTTCCTGTCACCTTTTAGTGTTCCAGAGCCCGGGGATCCTTCAGACCCGTGCCGCCTGTGTCGGGCCATTGTACTTTCATCTCTCAGAGATCTCTCCATGGCTGACAGTCATAACACCCCAGCATGTCCTCCAGCTGGCAGTTATTCCCAGACTTGTGTCTGCCATTCTGTCTTGTCTCCCCCAGCTAAGTTATGGCTGCCTGAGGGTCGCTCTCTCAAAGGACACTTAGCACGTTGCCAGGAGGACCGACCTAAACCATCTACTTATGACTCCTATCCTGCCCCCCCCCCAAGTGCACACTCCATCTCCATGTTTTAAGGCATGAACCATGCTGACAAAGCGGTGTCTGGTACAGTGGCAACCCAAAGGCTTCAGTGGAATCTCTGGTGTCTCCAAGACGCTCTTGCTGCTGATTGTGAGTCACCACTCATCTGCGGTGGCCCCGAGGGTTCACTTTATGATTCACATTCTAAAAGTGGGGTGAGGTTTGTTTTTTTTTTTCCTGAGGAACTAATTGCAGTCTGAACCCAGCTTCACAATTACTGGGTTCCTCTGTGGCTTTTGAGCAACCAGCATAGTGCTCCTCAGGACAAGTACGTAGAAGGCATTTCACAGGGTATGCCTCCCGGGAGGTTCCCTGTCAGATGTGTCTTATCAGCCTTTCTCTGGACTGTCCAGTATTTACAGCAGGCTCGTGCCTGACCTGGGAGGAATAAACTGAGGAAGAGCGGAGAACTCCTTGGGGGCTCGGCTTCCATTTATTCTTGCTGAGTGATGGTTTTGGTTTCTCACGCACAACGCGCTTCGCTTCCATCTGAAAAGAGGAAGCTTCAGAACTGGCCTTCTGGGCCCTGGAACCAAGCACTTAGCTCTACTTAGCATCCAAGAGACCTGTTCTTATAATGAGTGAGAGGGAAAATCACCAGAGAGAGGGTGCCTACATAGAAATGGGGCCACTCTATAAATCTGTATGCTACTCCAAACGCTTCTCCGAGAGAAGCTGCACCACCTCGGGTGAGACACTGAACAGCACTGGTGATGACAGTGACTAATGTTTACGTAGGGTTTGGAATGGTGCCTGGCACAGAGTAATCCCTCTGTAAGGTCACCTGCTATTATCGTTGTCACGGTTCTGTTTTGTTTCTTTCTGAGACAGAGTCTCATATATGTCCAGGCTAGTCTCAAGCTGTATGTAGCTAAGGATAGCCTCAAACTTCTCATCCTCCTACCACCACCTTCTGAATGCCGGGACTGCAGATGTGTGCCACCGTGCTCTGTTTGTGGCAGCGGTGGGATTGAGTCCTGGGTGTCGACCTGTGTTCGATACCTGGAACTTACACGGTGAAAGGAGAGAACCAATTTCTGCAAGTTCTCCTCTGACCTCCACACAATAGTGTGCGTGCACGAACACACACACACACACACACACACACACACACACACACACACACACACAAGAGCTATGCTATTAATCCGGAAGGGCCTACCTGTTCTTAGGGTTTTCTGTTTCTTTCACCTTTCCCTTCCTTCTCTCCGTCCATCCCTCTAGCCCCACTTATCCATGGATTTTGCTGGGCTCACCACTGTGGGCTGAGCAGGATGTTTTCCCCATTGAGCTGTGACGCGGCATGTGTCAGCACATGCCTGGCATTGTGTGGCTTTCTTCTGGAGCGGCACAGTGGGGGTGCGGCTTTACACCCGGCCGCTGTTTCTGAGAAGACGAATCTGACTCTTCAGTTTTGCTGTCTTATCTTGGCTCACAGCCATGACCACACTGAGTGACACTGGCACTGATGTTGCCGGGGCTAGAGGAAAGCTCACAGGCAGCCACCCGTGAGAACCCGTCCTTTGAGCTTGTGTTGCTTGAGGTAAGATCTGGTTTAGGACAGCAACATTCTCCAGGCTGCTTGTACGTGTCCAGTCCTGTGGCTGGTCAGGATCTCAGGGGAGGGCCTTGGAGTAGAGGCTTCTGGACATTCCATCCTCTGTACGCATTGGGTGTTCTGGCAGATCTCCATATGGGGGAGTTTGTCAAGAAATGTCAATACAGTCCATTGTAGTTGCTGTTTGTAAACTACTTTAGTTGCAGGATAGTCTATATATATACTCTGTAGTGCTTTTTTTGTGTCTGTGACTCAAAGGTTACAGTGTTTTGGCTTTTAGAGGACCTGGGCTCAGGGACTGGATCTGTCACCCAGCAGCTTGCTTTTTCCAGTGTATCTGTTTGTTGTGGCTTCTATTTGATCTTTCTTTATATAGGATGCTACCATGGAAAACAAGAGTCACTTGTTAAGTGAATTTTTTTCCACTTAAAACACCTAGAAGAAGCAGTTTAGGAATGTTAGGGCCCATTTTAGTCTTGAATAAGTCACCTAATTTCTCTCTACTCAGATTTTACTTTTTAATCTATATAAGGAGTATCTTGCCGTCTGCCCTAGTCATCTAAAAGGGATGGTGAGAGCTGTGAAAGCAACTCACTTGGTAGAGCGCTTGCAGTGCAGGAAATTCTGAGTTTGACCCCTGAGTATCACGTAAAGCATGTGTGCTGCTGTACACACACAGTCTTAGCATTCAGGAGGTGGAGGCAGGAGGATGGCCTCGGGTATATGAGACCATCTCCAAACAAACAAACGAGCAACAACAGACCAGTGCACTGACAACTTAAGCGAAGGGTGGTATAGAAATAGGTTTCTAAGAATTATAAATTTTATAGAAGCAGTTGTCTTAAGAACTGTAAAACAATTTTTTTGTCACCAAACAAATCAAAACTATCAGATGCTTTCTATTCTGATTTTTCTCTCAGCATAAATTGTTCGCTAGAGATAAAAACTTAGAGCAAAGTTCAACTTCTATTATTGTTGTGGAGGCTGGGTTACATCACTCTAGAAACCATTAGAATAGTATGTTTGCTTAGTAAGAACAATGGTGCTCAAGACAGTAGCTCATTTGTGAAAGCATATTAATTTCCCATTAATCCTCATTTTATTCATTTATCATATGCTCAAGAGCTAGGTTCAAGCTGTAAAAAGACATTAATAGCATGAAGATTACAAGTCAATTAAATAATCTCTAACATCCACAGAGCATAATTGCACTAGAAGTAAAGATTTGACATTTACACACTAATTCAAATTGACCGTGATTGAAGATGTATTTAATTTGCCTTTTTTTTAAATCAGTAAAGCAAATATTCCTAGTGTGTTACTTCAAATTAACAAGAAATGTTTCCATCATTGTTTTGCTTTGTTTTTGTTTGTTTGTTTGTTTGTTTTTCCTGATTGGTTAATCATGCTTGGAGATGCCATCTGGATACAGCTGGGTGTCTGTCTGCCAGAGATTCAGATCAGACTCTCAGAAAGTTACCTGTCTGAGGCAAGCAAGTGCTTTGGCTTCATGGGAAGGAGCATGCTTTCATTTCGCCGTCTGGGTGGAAACAGCGAAAGCCTTCTGAAGAAGTCCTAATGCTTCACAAGAACCAGTAGCCTTGAATTCCAGATAACAGTGTTTCCAAAATAGTTTGGGGAAACCAGGGAATCTCGTCTAAAAGTGCTAATATTTGAGTGGTTAGTTAGTGGTCTGATCTAAATCCTTATCCAGGGATCTTGGTGTATCCAGAGAGTGTTTAGTAGGAAAAAAAAGTGAGAAGGCCAGGAATGGAATATTAATAAACTGCTCCTGCTTGTTGTATACATGACTGGTGGTCTTTTACGGGATTTCTCGCAGACCCCACCAGCGGCTAGGTGAGAGAAGCATGGCATGCTGGAAACTGCCTGAAACCTCATCATGGTGTTCAAAGCCCCAGACTTTGGTGGATTCCGTGTGATGTAATGTTTACCAATCTCAATTTCCTTTCTTATTTAAACAGATCTCTGCCTGGCAGATAACCAAAGGCAAGGAGGACCAATCTCTCGTCTCTGTTCTCAGTGCTGCCGTTCACAAGACCTCAGTGACAGACTGTAGGCTCACACTCGTGGTGCTGTCCTGCTCGCCCCAGACATCTTTCTGGGGTCAACTTGAGGTCAACAGTGTGAAGATGAGCAGCATCCTATTAGCATGACGACCTTGGACCATGTCATCGCTACCCACCAGTCAGAGTGGGTCTCCTTCAGTGAAGAGCCGCTGTTCCCCGCCCCTTCAGAGGGTAAGGACAAGATGTCTTAAAGTGGCAAGACTTGTGTCTGTTTCTTTTTGTCATTCTCGAGTAGGGTTCTAATAAAGGAACAAAGAAAAAGCCATTTGGTCCTTACCAGAGATATGCATGGGTCCTTTCAGTAGCCAGAGGTGGTGTCTTCCTAGTATGAGGCAATACCAAAACCCTGGGAGCACCAAAGGCACATGCTCGTTCCTTTCAAGAGACAGAACTTCTATTTACATATTGCTTAACTGTTGGCCATTTTGGTGGTGACTCCCACCAGCTCCTTGGATTTTCTCAATTAAAAAAAATAATTTATTTTATGTACATTGGTGTTTTGCCTGCATGCGTGTCTGCGTAAGGGTGTCACACCCTCTGGAACTGGAGTTACAGACAGTTGTGGGCTGCCATGTGGTTACTAGGAGTTGAACCCAGGTCCTCTGGAAGAGCAGCCAGTGCTCTTAAGCACTGAACCAACTCTCCAGCCCAGATTTTCTCAATTTTTAAAGTGTAATTGCTCAAAGTGACAGACAGGTTCTGAGGGAGATTGCAAAGCTCTAAGCTTGTCATCATCACAGATGAGTGGTATGCTCTCAGGTGAGTGACTTGTGTGTGGAGATGGCAGGTGTTTGGCGTATGCACATGCCATGCCCATCTATGTGGAGGCTACAGCAGGACGTCAGGTATTATCATTCTCTGCCTTACTGTCTTGAGATGGGATCTACCAACAAAACAGAAACCTGTGATTTAGCTAGGCTGGCTGACCAGGATCTGCTTGTCTCTACCCAACGCTGCCAAGCCTGGCTTATATATGGGTACTGAGGAATTGAACTCAGGTCCTCATAATTGCAGAGCAAGCACCCTTACCCATATCTTTCTGAAACTTTTTTTGGGTTTGAAGTTCGTTTTTTGTTGTTTTGTTTTATTTCTTGTTTTTTGAGACAGGATTTCTCTGTGTAGCCCTGACTGTCCCAGAACTTAATCAGTAGACCCGGCTGGCCTCAAACTCAGAGATTCACCTGCCTCTGCCCCTTCCCCTCCCCCCAAGTGCTGGGACTGACAGCATGTGCCACCACACCGGGCTGGTTCTGTGTTTTATTTTTAAGACAGGCTTTTACACTATATAATCTTGGCTGTCCTGGAACTCACTATGTAGACTAGGCTGGCCATGAATCCACAGCAATCCTCCTACCTCTGTCTCTTGAGCACTGCAATTACAGTCAAGCACACCGTGCCTAGCCTCCAGAATGATTTGTTTAACCACTCCCTGCATGGCTGCATTGTCTATACAAGAGGAATGATCACAGGGCCCTGCATCAGGAGCTTTTGTGAGCATTTAATCAGCAGACGTAAAATGCCTGCGGGAGTGCCTGGTCCACAGAAAGAGCTCAGCATTGTCATCCTGGATCACGGTAGAAGTGGTCATATTGTCCTTTAGGAGATGAAGGTCAAGGTAGACCCAGGGATATCTGCAGCTCCAGTTGGTTCTGTTCTACTTCCCCTACGCCTACTGACCTCAGCCCACCCTCACTGGCACGGATGGAAAGTGGCAGTCAGCAGGCATACAACCTAGTGTGGTATCCGTGTGGGTAGTGAAGCCTTAAAATGTGGCAAATCTGAATTGAAATGTGCTGAAATTGTCACATATAGAGATGTGCATTCTCTGAACTTCAAAGACCTGGTCAAAATCCCATCTCTTGGGGACTGGGAAGATGGCTTACTCAGTAAAAGCACTTGCTGTGCAAGCATGGGGACCTAATTTCAAATGGCCAGGAACCATGTGGCATCGACATAGCTGCATGCACCTCTCACCCCAGTCCTGTGAAGGGCATTAAATACGATTGCTGGGACTGGGTGGCCACCAGCCTAATTCCAGATCCAGTGGGAGATCTGTCTCGAGGGAATAAGGCCAAGTGTGATAGAAAAGGCTACTAAGAGATCTCTTCTGGCCTCCACACACGCATAGGCACCTGTGTGAACCTGCTCTCACTCATGCTTTCTTCAAACACACAACACACACACACACACACACACACTTGCATTTCATTAACAGTGTTGGTTTGTTTTCATCTTTTTGACTTATCAAGACAGAGTATCTCTGTGTATCAGCCTTGGCTGTCCTAGAACCCACTCTGTAGACCAGGCTGACCTCAAATTCACCTAGATCTGCCTGCCTCAGCTTCCCGAGTGCTGGGATTAAAGGCGGGATTAAAGGTGTGCTCTGACACCACCTGGCTCTTTTTTACCTTGTAAATATGGGAACTAGAAAACTGAAGCTTACGCTCAGTTATTTTAGATAGTGCTGAAGGCTTTGATTGTGTACAAGTCACGATGATTATCTTATGACAGAAGAAAGGATTTTCATATTATTTGAATTTCAGAATGTTTCCTAAATGGGTCAGTGAGATAGAACGCTGGTGTTACCAAGTTTCATAAGATGTTCAAAGAGTCTCATATAGTAAAATGGACATTGTTTGCTGTGTAGCTGATGAATTTTAGCACATGTATAGATTTGTGTATTCAACCACCATAATTGATGTATATGTTTTGTTGTAAAAAAACAAGTTTTCTTTCTCTGTCATTCTGGACACAAAGTCCCACCCTTACCCAAGAAACCATTTGCAACTGTTACCTTCTGGGAAAGGGCAAATCAGTTTCACACTCCATGCCCAGATGCAGCTGGCCAATATTAAACAGACTGCATGTGTGTGTGCTTTTTTTATTTTTATTTTTGTCTTGATGGTTCCCTGTGTTTGTTTGTTTGTTTGTTTGCCTTTTTGATTTTCATCTTCTGTTTTTGTTTTTTCCCTTTTTTGGGGGGGGAAGCGGAAGAACATGAAGTTGGGTGGGTAGGGACCTTGGGAGAATCTGGAAAGAGTGTAGGAAGGGAACAAATATCATCAAAATATACTCTCTGGAAAAAATTTAATAAAGGTTTTTAAGGAACAAGTTTGAAAGGCATTAAATGTTTCAAGGACAGGCTGAAGAGATGGCTCAGTGGTTAAGAGCACTGGCTGCTCTTCCAAAGGACCCAGGCTCAATTTCCAGCACCCACTTGTTAGCTCACAACTGTCTGTAACTCCAATATCTGACACCTTCACAAAGATAAATAAAATAAAATAAATAATTTAAAAAATATTTCAAGTACAACATAAAGAAAAGGAGCCCCAATGTCACAGTTGCTGGTGATTCATGGGGTTTGCACAAGTTGCCTGCAGAGTAGTTTGTCCAAAACAGAGTTTGAAATTTCAGTTCAAATTTGAATTTCTTTAGTGGAGAAGGAAGCTTTGCTATTCATCCATAGACTCCATCATCCCCTACTGCTTCTCATTTGTCCCTAATCAATTCAGGAGCGTTTCTTGCTTGATTTCTATTGCCATTTGAATTTATGGCTCTCAAGCTGGGCTTAAAAGTGACGAACAAAGCCTGGAGAGGTGGCTTAGCAGATAAAGTCCCAGCTGTGCAAGCATTAGGACCTGAGTTCAACCTCCAGCACCCACGTAAATATCCAGCAGTGCATGAGTGCAGCCCTAGCATTGAGAGTGGGGAGTTGGAGACAAGATGTCTGGGTTCATGAACCAACCAGTCTAGCAGAATAGATGCGCTCCAGGTTCAGGGAAAGACCCTGTCTAAGAAAGTAAGGTGGAGAGCACTTGAGAAAAACATCCTGGTGTTGACCTCCAGCCTCCACAGATACATACACTATGCACTGGGCAGTGTACCCCCTCACATGTATTCATCAAATCACCCCCAAATGTAGAGAACAATCAAGGAAGATGCCTAACATCAACCTCTGAGCTACACACACACACACACACACACACACACACACACACACACACACACACACACACCATATATGCTCATACACACATAATAAATACAATAATGGGGAAATGTTTTTTTCTCAGTTGTCTGGGATAATGGGATAGTGACTGGGAACAAAATGAGATTACAGGCTTTAAAAGTTATTTGGGACACAGCCCTTTAACATGGAGATGGATTGGCATGGCCATTATCTTGCGTTGAGTGTTGCATCATCCCTTGCCTTTGGTGAGACACCTCTGATGAGCATCCTTCCTCACCTGATAGTAGTGTTTGGTACCCTCCACAGGGGTCACTGAAGAACACTTCCCAGGATCATCATCTTCCTCAGACCCGTCTGAGAGCTCCTCTGGGGAGAATCCTGCCGCGGATGGAGGCTGCCAGGACCTTTCCCACTCCGAGCAGGATGACTCCTCTGAAAAGATGGGCCTCATCTCCGAAGCAACCACTCCTCCTGGGAGCCCAGTGCAGCCCACACCTGACTTGGCCTCGGCCATCAGCAACTGGGTCCAGTTTGAAGATGACTCGCCCTGGAGCAACATCTCACCACCTCCCAAGGAAACCGGTGAGCAGGGTAGGAAGTTAAGCAGGCTTCTCGTAGGCTCTTGAAGGGCTTTCCCATGAGAGGGCTGTAAGACATCTAGGATTCCAGATTCTTGAGCTCCAGATCCTGAAAACATACAGGAGAGACCAGAGATCCCACCCCTTTTTTAGTTTTTGACAAGGTTTTGGTTGAAATATGCATGCAAAAGACTGCCCCTGCCTCCCTAGTGCTGGGATTAAAGGTGTGCACCACCAACGCCTGGCCATTTTCTTTCTTTTTTTGTTTTCTTTTGAAGACAGGGTTTCTCTGTATAGCCCTGGCTGTCCTGGATCTCACTCTATCGACCAGGCTGACCGAAATTCACCTACCTCTGCCTCCTGAGTGCTAGAATTAAAAGCGTGCAACACCACTGCCCAGCCATTTAAAAAAATTTACCTCCCACCCCTGGCTACTGATTTGTCTGCATGAATACCTATATTTTTTATCTATTAGGAATTGGAATTACATTTACTCTGGCTCCAGGTCTGCTAGCATGCCATCACCACCATTATGGATCCTAACCCCCATGGAACTGGAAGCCAAAATGAGCTTTCTTCCCTAAGTCGTCCTTGATTGTAGTTTTTTTTATTACAACAATGGAAAATTAAATAATGAAGACCTAATCTTTAAAAACAGATTCCTTTTTTTCTAACATGCTTCCCTATCATTAAAAATAATTTCAAAGCCGGGTGGTGGTGGCGCACGCCTTTACTCCCAGCACTCGGGAGGCAGAGGCAGGCGGATCTCTGTAAGTTCTAGGCTGGGCTGGACCGACAGCCTCCAAAACAATACAGAGAAACCCTGTCTCGTAAAAACCAAAAAAAAAAAAAAAATCAAGAGAATATAACAGGGTCTGGAGAGATGGCTCCGGGGTTAAGATCTCTTGCTGCTCTTCCAGAGGACCTGGGTTTACATCCCAGCACCTATATTGGCAGCTGGCATCTGTAACCTCAGCTCCAGGGCATCTGATGTCTTTTCTGGCTTCCTTGGGCACTGCATGCATGTGGTAAACAGACATAAGTGAAAGCAAACCACCTATACATATAAAATGAAATTATATGTATAGGTGTTGAATTTTAAAAGAAAATATAAAATATTCTGTCATATAACAGGTTTTGACAGAATACCTGAAAATTTTGTGTTTAATTTTTCATTTTTAATCATCAGGCTTTCAGAGATTTGTTGGTGATTGAGCCATGATGTGACAGATCCAGACTGGTTCAGTCTGGCTAGGAAGTGACTCTTACTGAACATCTGACACAGAGCTCTTCAGCTCTACATACAGGAAAATTATGGAACACAGGTGCTGTGGTTTGAATGTTTTGTTTCTCCAGAATTCATGCTGAAATCTAATCACCAATGTGTTGGTATTATGGGGTGTGGAGAGAAGTCTTTTCCTTGCTAGCTGCTTTGGTTTTTCCCCACTAGTCACCTGGGCTCTGCCATGTTGTAGTCCCCAAATGAACACCCAAAATGCTGTATTAATTATGAATCTGTTGGTCTTGCTTGTTTCTTACTGGCTAGCTCTGACTTAAGTATTTAACCCATTGAAGTATTTCTCTTACTGGATGGACATCTTACTTCTCTGGTGGGCTACATGATGACTCCCTGTGTTTCTCCTACCCAGAGTCCTCCTGGACTCCTAGTCCTACCTATCTTGCTTTCCTATTGGCCAAAAGTGCTTTATTGACATATACACAGGACTTCCCCCATCAATGGGGTCTTTGGGAGGTGATTCGGTCATCTTGAGGGTGGAACCCTTGTGAGGAGGATCAATGCCATTATAAGAGACTGGAGAGAGCATGCCCCTCCCCCTATGACAGTGTTTGTCTTCGTGCCATTTGAGAATACCAGCTGCTGTCTGTGAAGACCCTCATCCAGTCCTAATCTGGTGTTTTCATCCTAGCCTCCAAACCTCCTGACCTGGGAGGATTAAATTTATATTGTTTATAAATTACCCACTCCATGGGATCATATTCTGGCAACAAGAACAGAAAAGCCAATCACACAAATCAATACAAAAATGTGGTTATTGTTATTACTATTTATTTTTGTAGAAAGGGTTTCCTATAGCCCAGGCTAGCCTTTGACTCTATGTAACACAGGCTGGCCAGCCTTGAACTTTTGATCCTCGTACCTCCACCTCCAAAATAGCGAGACTGTAAATATGCACCACAAGCCTGGCTGTTGTTTATTTTCAGGTCGTTGATAATATTCAGAGCATCCAGATTCTTCCCCATCTTGTTCAAACCTTACCTTTAGCCTCTACTTACTCCAAATGATTTGCATGACAGATGGGGCAACTTGCCTCAACTGGTCACCACTTACTTTTATAACAATAATTTTGGAGTTAGTCTTAATTATATTGCTTCCGTCCAACTAAAGACCTGTGTTGTTGTTGGCAGTGATTTTGATAGAGCATCAAGACTTTATTCCCTGGAGCAGTTGGTGGAATGGGTTTCTAGCATGCATGATACCAGCACTGTGTAAAAGGGGGTGCGCTAATTCATACTTCCAATCCCAGCAGATGGAAGACAGGATCAGAGATTCAAGGTCAGGGTCAGCTTTGTAGCAAGCTCAAGGTCATGCTGGGCTACTTGAGACACCATTTCTAAAAGATTAATAAAGCAAAAATATCACACTTTAAAGACAAAAATCCAGCCATGATGTGTAAGACTGCTGCTCACCTCAGTTCTGGCAATAAAACTTTATTGACAGCTGCAGAAGGCTAATCTCTGGGCCCTAGTTTACTGTTTTGGTTTGATATTTTTAAGGTATCACATTTATAACATATTACAAAGTCCATCTTAAATTGTGCATCCAAGACAGTTAAATCACCTGTGTTATCCTAACCCCAGCCTTTCAGTGAACTGAAGATGTGTTTGTGTCACTAGAAGACACCAACTGCATTACAAACAATTACAACTATGGAAGTCTAATTTTGTCTTGAAAATTGCTCAGATATCAATAATCCCATCCATTTCCATGACTGAAAAATTTACTAGCCCTGTGGAGATGGAACTATGCCTCAAGAGAAGGCTAGAAAGAACGAGACTGAACTGTGTACAGGGAGGGGCATCTGGTCTCCTGAGGCTCTATACAAAGCATGAGACTGGTTTAAGGGGAGAGGGTTAAAAAAATCCAAGAGGCAGATTCTAAACCTGCCAGTGTGCTGCTTTTGAGAGAACACGCTAAATAAACTGCTACAAGATACATTCTTATCATCTAAACCACCCTCTTCCTCATGGGCCTGCCCCCCCCCCCCGGGCTTCCTCCCTTGGACTATATTTAACAAGAAGGATGGCTGGGAGAGTTCATGACAAATGAAAAGTAAGAAAAATTGGCCGTCAGTCCACTCGGTGTGGCCAACATAGACATTCCACAGCTTAGACAGTTGTTCACTCTGGGCGTTAGTGGATAGCTCAGATTTTAACTTAAATGGAAAATGTGTGGCTCATGTGTCATGTTAACAAGACCATGTATGTGTCTGTGGGCATCATACAGAAACAGCCCATGTTTGTACAGCAAATTCCTTCATCATGCTGGAAGCACTTGACACTGCTCACACTCGCTGCAGCCTGCTCTGTCCTTTTGGTGATGCTGAGTTTTATGATCTAGTAGGCTGAATAATGGCACCCAAGGGCAGCAGGCTCTCCTGCCTTGAACCTGTAAATGCTATCTTATTTGGAGAAGAGTAACTCTCTTAAGATTTCAAGAGGGGGAGATCAAGGGCCCTACATACATTCACATGCATCCTTATGAGAGGAAGACTTTGCCCACTGGAGAAAATGGAGCAGGGGACTTGAAGATGTTGGCCTTAAAGACGATATCCATCAGAAGCCAGACAGGGCCAGGGAGACAGTCAAGCCTTTGGAAGGACAGTGAGTGGCTCTGCTGACACGGTCACTGAAACATAGGGTTTTTGATTTCTGACCTCTGGTCTTTATAACCATGTGAAAATAAGCTACCATTATTTGAGCTACCAATTTTGCCATAGTCTGTTAGAGCAACCACAGGAAACTGATCCACTAAGCTTCACATCTCTAAAGTAAAAGCTTTTGCACACGGCCTAGGATGAGTCAGAACGGGCCAGGGATGTCAGTCATAGCACAAGCCACTTGTCAAGGTTGTGTGTGCTTTTACAGCCCTCCGTCACTTACCCACTTGGGCACTTCTCTGCAGCTCTGTGAGGTGTGTGTCATCCAAAGACAGTGTAGGACCCAGAATTTAATGGAAACCCATTCAGCTGTTTCCCGAGTCTTCCAGTAGGACCCCGGAACCAGCTTGTGGCCCTGTGAGTTCTCTTGTCCATTTCTCATTGAGAAGCAACCACATGTGTTTCCATGCATGTCTTTCAACTACCTCATGTCTTTTGTTGTCATCATTGTTAATGTTTTACATTTCACGATAGCCTAGAAATTGGACTTGTCTCTTAGCAAGTCAAGAAGTAAGTGCGGAGAAGTTTGTGGGGTTTTTCGGTTTTTGTTGTTGTTCAAGAGTTTCATCTTCAATAGCCAGGCACCACTATTCTCTCTTGCAAAGGATTAAACTAAAATTCAAAGCAGTCTCCCTTGTCAGTTATCAGTTACTTCTGGGGTTTCTTCGAAGTTCTTAACTCAGTTTGCCCTGGACCAGTGGTGACTACTTAGAGAGCTCATAGGTAGATGGTCAGCTTACAGAAAATCAGTGGCTATCTGAAAATCAGTGGCTATCTTCTGCTTCTCAGGGTCATCTGACGATATAAAAATGTCTTCATTTCTCACTTACCTACTTAAAATTTTTTATTAAGTCTTATTATTCAGATTCTAAATGTCTTAATTCAGTTGTAGATTCCAAGAAAACTTTTTACAAATTTTATTCATCATTAGTGCTAGTGGTAATAGTAGCAGTAGTGTGTGTGTGTGTGTGTGTGTGTGTGTGTGTGCATGTGCATTTGTGTGTATATGTGTATGAGAGAGACATATGTGTGTGGGCATGCAAGT